GTAGTAACCAATGATCTTCCAGCTGTGGAAAAACAGCGAAACCAATAGAACTCTTTCTGGCCGGGCCAGGTTGTGGGTACCATACCGCAACATGTGTCTCTTTTGGGTTCGCAACCATTCACCATGTTCACAAGGATCATGAATCCAGTGAGGTCGCCTTGTTTCAGTCGCTTCGGTATCTCCAGCTTGTCTTTGCCCTGCGAAGATGGTTGGGCGATATTTTTTGGCTGAGATCAGTCCGAAAATCGATGTGCCAAAAAAACGGATTCCATACCCGGGTAGCCCAGCAAACTTTGAGGATCAATGGATTCCCCTCGCATGGGATGAATTCAACATGAAACATCATCGACCAAAGTCGCCACGTCTCCTGGGGTTCGATAACACGTCTAGTTCTACATTTTCAGGGCCACTTTGCGCCCCAGTTGTTGTTGATAAAACTGTGAGTTTTTATTCCACAACCGTTGTCTCCAAATTGAAATGGGGATTCACCTTGCAATGAAAAATTGACTATTCCATTTAATTCACAAATTATTTACTGTTCAATTAGTGGGTTTAAGGTAGATGTAACGCACCAGCTAATGGGTTTTAAAAGCCAACGCCTGTCTATCTATCTATCTATCTTATCTAATCTAATCTAATCTAGTCTAATCTAGTCTAATCTTATCTAATCTAGTCTAATCTAATCTAATTTAATCTGATCTAATCTAATCTAATCTAATCGAATCTAATCTAATCTAATCTAATCTATCTATCTATCTAATCTGTCTACAGAGCGAATCAGTTGATTCAAAACCCAACCCATCCTGAAATTTATGAACCCTGTTCCCGGGCCAATCATCCACAAGACAATCATTTATCAAGGATATTCATTACTTATTTGCCAATAATTTTCACGATTTTCTGTAATTTCCCTATGAACCCAAGGCAAATCAGCTAATCATCAACAAAATCTCCATCACCGCCCAGGACTGCCTGCAAGGCCTGGGGATAGCGTAAGCGCAACGTAGCGCTGGGCGGTTCAAGCGCCAGGCCGTTCAGGCTGAAGGCGCGCTGTTGAGTGGCCAACCAACCTTAAAACTGTGGACAAGCATTCGGTGTCATTGCCGTGGCGGGGAAATCTCCGAACTATGTATATACAATATATATATATATATAAATAATATATACATATATATATGATATATGTGTATGTATGCATATATATATATACATGTATATATCTATATATGGTGGATGTTCTGTTGCCTTGTTTGGTTACCGGAAGATAATGCTAGATTATCAGTGCTTCATAGTTGATTTCAAGTGGTGATGAGCATGGTTGACCTCATTGCAGTTGACATGTCTACAAAAATATGAAGTTGCTCGTGAATAGTTTTTTTGGGGGATGTTTGTTTGTATTTTGGAGTTGTAACTGTTTTTGTACACATGGTCATTCATTGAAAATAATCAAATGTATGTATAGGTGTATCATCAGCTTTGAGCTATTGATGCTCTTTTGGGAACTAATTTTTGGAGTCTTTTGGCTTGTATGTCATGTAATATCATTACTTACTTTCGCATTCAATCCCACTTGTTTCTTGTGAAATCCCCATTCATTTTCCTTAAATGGAATGGGGGAAGTTTAAAGTTCAAATTTCCAACAGTATGGACAGATGGAAAAGCAGAGGTGGGAAGAGTCAGAGAAGAGACAAGAAGAAGGAGAAGAAGAAGAAGATAGATCAGAGAAGAGCAAGAGTCAGAAGAAAGAAGCTGCAGGTGCGCGAAAAGGTAGGAAAGTCGCGAAACACTATGTTTTCCCAATGATTTGTGGCTCCGGAGGGTCGAAAAGTAGGCTTGCTAAAGCGGCGGGTGCGGAGCCAGCTGGCCAGATGAGAGGTGAAAAAATGCACACCGTTGTGGCGGAAGCACATTTGGAAGTCAAAATGCGCAAAGCACCTCAGCTCCGGACCACTTTTGGAAGTTGAGATGTCGAAAAAGTGCACACCGTTGTGGCGCGAAGCACATTTCGAAGTCAAATGTACATAGAACATTTTTGGAAGTTGAGATGTTCAAAAAGTTCGTGCCGTTGTGGCTCGAAGCACATTTCGAAGTGAACATGTTAAAAGAGACAGCATGTTTGCGCCGCTTTTGGACGTTGAAGCATCGTTTGTGTGGCAGGCGCTAGGGTGCACGCTAGGGATTCTGCACCCTGCCAAAAGTGAGCAATATGTGAAGTTTTTGTAGCAGTTTCGAAAACCTTGGTAGGCGTGGGACATTTGAAAAGAACTGCAAAGATACATTTCGCGTGGCAGGCGCAGTACAAGAGACATGTTTATCAGATGTTGGGAGATCAGGGCGCTGATTTCCTGAGAATTGGTGCATCAGATCTTCAGGTTTGCTAAGATGATTTTGCGTGACAGGTGTAGCACATCGTATGCCTTGGCATCCCTTTTTGGTGGCAAGCGCAATACTTTAGATGGGTGAAATGGAAACAATGCAAAACGCATTGGTACGAGGCCGGCAGCTCTGCACTCAATTTTCCATTATTGAAACACGTCTCGCAGAATTGCTTCGTTTTTGATGTTGTCAACTTGGAAAATCATATTCTTTCTGTGGCTGTGGCTGTGCCAAACGGCCTCACCTGATGGGCAGTGTGCAGGCAATTTATCAAAGATAATCTTGCGTCTCAGAATGCTTGGAGGATGATGATGTTAAGGATGATGATGTCAAGGGGAGGAAGATAATGATGTTGAGGAGGGGAAGACGATGATGATTTTGCGGATGATGAGGTGCAGGGTGATGATGTTGAGCATGATGAGGTGGAAAAGATGAGGTGGAGGGTGATGATGTCAACCGGAAGGAAGAGGACAGACCCCTAGGTGCACACTTTGTGCCAGCCTGCGCAGTCAAAATGCTCTTCAACATGTCACAAGAGCCACTTTATACATTTTATACAGAAATTTACAGGAAAAAGGCTGCGCCCCAGGATGGGCCCAGAACATCCCAGAACGCGCGCACACATTTTGTGCGAGCATCCGCAGTCGAAATGCACTTCAACATTTCACAAGAGCCACTTTATACGGAAATTTCCAGGAAAAATGCCGCGCCCCAAAACCGCGGCGCAGACTTTGTGCGAGCCTGCGCAGTCGAAACGCATGTCAAGATTTCACAAGAGCCACTTTATGCGGAAATTTAAAGGAAAAAGGCCGCGCCCCAGAATGAGCCCAGAACGCAGCCGCACATTTTGTGCGCTGATCAAGCACCGGCCTTTACTCCTAACGTAAGATAACGTAAGAACCTCTCAGTGTGGACACACTGTTTCGGAATTGTAGTATCTCTTAGAAAGAAAAAACATACCCTCCGGTCATCAAACATGGGAAAATCCACCAATTTTCGATGAATTTCGCATGAAAACCATTTCAAACATCCAGTTGAGGATTTCCCAGGGGATTTCCTAGGGCCCTGGTCTCGCCAAGCAGCTCTCCTCGCTGGTCTTCCTGGGGGCCATGCTTGTACGAGTACCGCGCAGCGGCGCAGCGCGAGCTCCGGAGTGTCGGGTGAGCTGAACCAAAATGGGCTGAGCACCAGCACAGAGGGATACTGACAAGTGATAACGCCAAAAATACATATAGCAATAATGATCACAGTTAGTTACTCTATGCCGTATATTCGGAGGAAGTGATTCGGGTATGATCTGGGGGTCAACTAAAATCTAAGAAGGCATTCGGATCCATACAATGTGGCCCCCCCCCAGTTATAAGTTTGTTTATAAACACCATTAACTATAGTTACAGTATAGGTATTCTAAACCATAATTATTGAGGTTATAAACCAACTTAGCTATCGTTTGGGGGCCCCACATTGATGTTCCTTCTATTCTATTCAACTGATGTCAGATGGCATCCCAGTGAATCATATTGGGATTCATCCCAAACATCACTGCGATGTTTCAAGGGGGAGCCTGTGTGACTTTGAAGTTTGGATACCCCGTGCCACTTTTGGAAAAAAAAACCGTTGGACACATTTGGAAACTAATCCAACATTGTCTGGTTGGTGGTTTTAACCGTCTTGAAAACTACCAGTCAATAGGAAGGATTATTCCGTATATTATGGAAAATAAAAAATGTTCGAAACCACCAACCAGTTGTTCCCCGTGCCAAAATACTTGAATCAAATGATGAGAAATTGTCTGGGAAAAAAGGGAGCCAGTGTTGGATATCGTTTGCGATCAAGTACCTGGTTTTGAGTCAGGGGAAATTACCCCGTTATCCCTTCAATCAGCAGATATACTGTGGAAAGCGACATCTCCAATGGTATCACCCATTATACACTGCGGCAATCAAACACAGCAATGGACATGTAGCCTTTTAAATCTTTCCGCAACGGGAAAATCATTCGCACATGAAAATAAATGAGGCATTTTCCGTTGCCGCCGCAAAGAGGACCCCCATGTGTAAGTTGAGACCGATCAAACTGCAGATATGTCATATATCTATACTATAAACCTTTAAACCACAGTTCTGAACGGACTGTTCCATCGTTGGGGGCCCCCCCTTGTGTACAGAACCTACAATAAAGTGACACAGAAAACCTACCACTTATTTGCAGTGGAAAACCTTGGATGTGTATCCCCGAAATCGCAAGTGCTTAGCTTGTCAAATTAAATTTTACAATGATATACTGTATCCCATTGATCATTGATCTCACCCGGGATATTCCAGTCATCTAAGTGGTGTATTATGGTGATTCCTCACAAAAACTGGGCCCCACACACACCAAATTCATAGATCTCCACAAAAAGCATTGGTTATCCCCTTTTCCACTTATTTTCATTGAGAAACTCAATGCAACAGTACATTTGAGGACCTGTAAAACCACTATCTGGTATATATTCAAGCAATACATATCATGTAGCAGTTCGATATCTGTATATTAAAAAGTTAGTAATGTCACCTAATGTCTACCGATTTTTCTACCTTTTTTGGACCTCAAGAAAGGCACCGAAATCAGCACCAAGCAGCGTTTCCGCATCCTTCTCCGTCAGAAGCTTCAAGGTTTCAACCTTATTCGGTGGGCGACATCCTTGGGGTGTGGTTGAATCATGTCAAACCCGTTCACAATCATCTATCATCAAAGGTATACATATACATATATATATACATTATACATACATATATATATAAATAGAGCTTGGGCAACATTAGTCAATCATGACCTGGTTATATAATCGACTGGAAATGCAATTCTCTTGAAAACTAAGGCATATACTGAATCAATTATTACTGGCAATGAATCAATTATTACTGGCAATGAAAATAAACCAAAGAATAATGGCAGTCAACCACCATTTGTCACTTCCTAATCCTGGTGGTCAAGCCCATATGTCCCATGGTCAGGTTAGATGGTCATCCCATCATCATTACGGGATCCTTATAATGGATTGACGATCATCCATAAATATGGGTGCATACTCCAACTTTCGACCATGACACATCCCGAGGTTAATCATAAATGTACTCACTTAAAGGAATTATTCCAATAACGAACCACAGTCATCAAAATTCTTTAAGCTACATACTATCATACTGACTGACACATCTACAACCTCCCCAGTTGCAAGTTGGTTTCTGTTCACCCATCCAATTGTAGGTATATCCAAGGTAAACCCAACACCCAACACAATTAAGGATCATTTCCGCCACGTGACCAATCATATGGGGTGGCCCAACTTGAAACACGCTTGGTTGATTGAATCAGCCGCATGTTGTTCAGTAGCGGGATGATGCTCCACAAGGACCAAAGAAATCTTCGATCCTCAAACCTCTTTCAACATCTTCACAAACATTGAGTTTTTCATGGCCAATCTTAGATACCCTGCAAACAAAATAATTCTTAGCTGGGTAGTAGATAATCCCTTTGATACCTAGATTTTTTGCTTAACTCACACAAACGCAATTTTATCCAATCATTTGCCCCCAGTAGCTATCCCAGCTGCAAACCATAATAAGCACAATCATTCCAATTTTTTAAGCGGCGTCATCTTAACATATTCCAATTGCTTGCTTTTGATCGCCAACACTTAACGGACCATACCCAAGTAATCAATCTCCTAGATACCATGGGGGTTTTAGCATCACTTTACCTAGATTTATCAATCAATTTAACCATCCCCACATATTATTGGTTATTTATCCTATATATCCCAATTTTTGCTAGTTTATTTTCCACTAACTTCTTCTTATTTCAAAGGGATATCATCAACAATAATGTATTGATCTATGCATCTACCCCATTATATCCCCTTGATAACCCAAATGAGATGGCTACCAGTATATACCTATATTCTTGGTTGTACATCCCATTTAATTTCATTGGTATCCGAGAACTTTGATGCTTGCTTCTCGATTTATTCCACTAAATACCACTAAATCCCACTAAATCCCACTAAATCCCATTAAATCCCATTACATCCCATTAAATCCCATTAAATCCCATTATACTCCATATTCCCATTTTTTCATAAGTCAATTCCCTGAAATTCGATGATCCATCTCTTTGTAGGCATCAATGACAAAATCCTATTAAATCCCATGAAATCAAACATTTCCATTTATCAAATGTCAATTCCCATCAAGCTGATGCTTTATCCCATTAATATCTCATGATTATCCGATAATTATCTCAGTAATCTTCCATAAAATCGCGGTTTTTCATCACCATTTTCTTGCGGGGTGCTTTCTCTTATGGGATATATCTCATTATTCTTATATCAAATTAAATGCCAATTGTTCCCATCAAATTCAAAACTTATATCAAATTAAATGCCAATTGTTCCCATAAAATTCAAATCCCATGAATCTCGCATGAAATCCCACTAGAATCCCAATTTTCATCCAGTTTTTCCCCATTTTTCTTCAT